TTGGGGGGGGGGGGGTGACGATGCTGACCCAACCCATGACAGCTGATCAAAACTCCCTATGTGGCCCTTGGGCCCAAATAATTGCCCATCCCTGGTCTACAGGGTCTCTCTTGGCTTGAGAAGGCCCTCTCACTGCATACATAAAAGCTACCCTGAACAAAGTCTGAAGGTCTCTGCCCATCCCCCTTGAACATTCACTACTAATTATTAAAGCAGTCTGCTTATGTCAGGGAGAAAGAATAAAGTTCAACAAAAGTTTTTTCCTATTATCCCTAGTTAATTGTTTGCCACTGGAGCCCAACCCAAGGCCAGGAAATGACGCTACAACTTCAAAACTTCTCATTTTGCATTTTGCACAAAAAACAATTAGAATGAGAAATTCAAGTTTTAGTGCTCATGTCTGTGCAACCCAACAGAAAGCGTGTCGGCGAAGGATTTGCTACTGGAAAAAGGAAGCAGATAAGAATACAGCTAGATCCTTACAGAACGGTCAAAGCTATAAGCAAGCCTCACCTTAAATCTTTTGTCCTGCAGCACTTTCTTGATGGCCACAAGCTCTCCTGAATCGCAGAGTTTGGCTTGATACACAACACCAAAAGATCCATTGCCAATCACCTTGGTGTCCGTATAGCTAACTTCTTGTGGTCGGTCTGGCCCTTGTCCAGGAGTTGCTACAACTGTAGTTACTTTGCTGCCATCTTTGTCTCCTGTGTAAGCAAAGAACATGGAATTAAGTTGATGTACACCCATAAACGCAAACATACAGCACACTTTAATAGACACGTGTATAAATACTCGTTTTCAACCAAATTTATTTGACAGGAAGGAAAAAGAAAAAAGATGGCATGAAAACAAAGATTTAACATGCTGCCTATTTCTTGCAACACATTTACCAAAGGTATTTTTTAGTTTATACTGTATTTAAAAGAAAATGTCCCCCTTTTCAGACTCAACAATTCCCAACTCTGGCATGTCTGCAGCACAGCAAAATTACCAATTTTTCTCTCTTCCAGCAATTTGAGTGGTACTACACATTTAATGATTTATAGTATTAAAATAAGAATCAATCCACTTTCTGATATGTTACAGTAATTACAGCAATCAAACCAACAGCCTTCCCAGCAGAGCTAGATCTCTTTATATATACACCCTGAGCTGTATGCTAGGTGCTTATCATGACAACATAGTTAAGGGTGCAGCCCTTTACGAGTCCACAGCCATATCTTCACTGGGCGTTCACCCCTTGGTGACCAGAACAAATTCCACTGAATTCATGCAAGTTACCTCCCACAGAAAGAAAACGTAGTTTAGGAGAATGCACCAGGTGGCAGCTGTTCAAAACCAGATAGAATTCTACCTCCAACAAAATTGTACCTTATTGTAATGATGTCTACCTTGGCCAAACCTTTGCACTGGCTCAATTACACTGGGACCTGGCTTTTGTGTGTGTGTGT